CTGCAGCGTGGCTGGCTTTGCCGACCCTCTCTGCCGGTGCCCAGGGTGAGCCCTGGCAACGGGGCTGCAGGGGGCCCTCCCCGACAGAGCGGGCAGGGGTGCTGGGCAGCAGGGGAGCGGGGTGCCACAGGCCTCTGCCTCCCCTGCAGGTGAGCAGCCCGATGCCTCGCTTCCCCTCCATGTGCTCCCTCTCTACTCTTTGCTGGCCCCGGAGAAGCAGGCGCAGGTAACCGTGCAGGACCTGGGATGGATGCCCGGTGGGGAGCGCCCAAAGGCATTGAGGTGGGAGCAGGTCAGGCCCCGGGTCACCCTCTCTGTCAGCTGTCTGATCAGCGCCCCAGACTTTTGAGAGGGTATTGGGATCTCCTGCTCGGAGGACGGAAACGCTTCCCTCATTTAGTTGGGGAGCAGTGGCCCGAGGCGAGGAGAGTCACCTCCAGGCCCTGCCCCGCCTGGCTGACTTCTTCTGACCTCTGTCCCACGAATTCTTCCCTGACTCTCGTGGGGCAAAGGTCAGTTTTCTTGTTGCTCCCGTCCCCCCATCCTAGGTCTTCCAACCTCCCCCAGAGGGGACACGGCTGTGTGTTGTGGCCACCAATGTGGCCGAGACGTCCCTCACCATCCCAGGCATCAAGTACGTGGTGGACTGTGGGAAGGTCAAGAAGCGGCACTACGACCGTGTCACCGGCGTGTCCTCCTTCCGCGTCACCTGGGTCTCCCAGGCCTCGGCTGATCAGCGGGCAGGACGCGCGGGCCGGACAGAGCCCGGCCACTGCTACAGGTGGGGCTCCCAGGGGCCCCTCCAGTGACGTTGGGGCCACTGTGCAGTGGTCACCCACCCACGGGCGAGGAAAGGGGGGGTCCCGTGTCCCGCTGGAAACCATCCTTCGCACCCCCTTTTCTGTTGGCTTTCAGGCACTTGCGTTATTTCTTTATTCTGCTGCTGACGTCAGGCCCTGTATTTATTTGCACCTCGATTTTTGTTTTGTTTTGTTAACACATTTTTTGAGGTAAAGTTCACATACCATAAAACTCACCGTTTAAAGTGTGCAATTCTGTGGGTTTTAGTATATTTACAGTGTTGTGCAGCCATCACCACTATTAATTTTTAAACGTTCTCTTCACCCCCAAAGAGACTGCATTTATCAGTTGCACCCGTTAATCAGTTTCTCCCTGCATCTCCCTACCACTCCCAACCCACCAGTGCCCGGCAGCCACTCACCTACTTCCTGTCTCTACGGACATGCTCATTCTGGACATTTTCTGTAAACGGAATCGGACAATATGTGATCTTTCACGTCTGGCTTCTTTCACTCAGCATCATGTTTTCAAGGTTCATCCACACTGTTGCCTGCATCGGTGCTTCATTCCTTTTAATGGCTGAGTAACATGCTGTTGCGTGGAGGGACCACATCTCACTGTCCGTTCATCTGTTGATAGACTCTTGGGTTGCGTCCACGTTTTGTCCACTGTGAATAGTGCTGCCGTGAACATTCATGTACAAGTATTTGAACGTCTGTTCCCATGCCTCTCAGGTATATACCTAGGAGTAGAATTGCTGGGTTGTACGATGACTCTGTGTTTCACATTTTGAGGAACGACCAGACTGTTTTCCACGGCGGCTACTCCATTTTATCTATACATTCTCACCAGCAGCATGCGAAGGTTCTAATTTCTCCACATCTCCCCAGTGCTCGCTATTTTCTACTTTATAAAAATGAAAGTACGAGGTGGTATCTCACAGTGGTCTTGGTTTGCATTTCTCTAATGACGTTGAGCATCTTTTCACGTGCTTAAGGGCCATTTGTACATGTTCTCTGGAGGGATGTCTATTCAAATCCATCATTTCTTTTTTTTTTTTTATAGTATTTGTTATTTTATTTTATTTAGTTACTTGGTTGTGCCAGGTCTTAGTTGCGGCAGGCGGGCGCCATAGGCAGGCTCTTTAGTTGAGGCTCGTGGGCTCCTTAGTTGTGGCTCGTGGGCTCCATAGTTGTGGCATGCAAACTCTTAGTTGCGGCACGCATGTGGGATCTAGTTCCCTGACCAGGGATCGAACCTGAGCACCCTGCATTGGGAGCGTGGAGTCTTAGCCACTGCGCCACCAGGGAGGTCCCTATCATTTACTTTTCAGTCAGGTTGGTTGTCTTTTGATTGGTGAGTTGTAAGTGTTCTTTCTATAATCCTAGTGTTGGATCCTTGTCAGAGGCATCATTGGCAAATATTTTCTCCCAGTCTGTATGCTGGGTTTTATTTGTTTTCAATAGCTGTATGCTGTTCTTTTCAACGTTGCTTTACATAACAAAAGAAAAGAAAATTGAGAAACTATGCCAAGAAAACTCGTAAGCAATAAAGTAGTTAAAATGTCCCGAGTGCCGTGTGCCAGGCAGTTCTAAGCACTCTTATGTGAAGATACCTGAAGTATCTTCACCAATCCCAACGGGGCAGCTGCTATGTTTGCCCATTTCACAGGTGAGGAAAGTGAGGTAGGAAGAGGGTGAACACCTTGCCTAGTAAAGTGGTGGAGTCAAGATTCAATGCCAGGTAGTTGGGCTGAGTTTCTTCCTTATTCACTTAACATTTCTTAGTCTCTGGTGCTTCCTTCTGTTCAGACTATATTCATCTGCGGTTTTCGGTGACTTTGAGAAGTTCCCCCCTCCTGAAATCACCCGGAGACCTGTCGAAGACTTGACCCTTCAGATGAAAGCTCTCAATATTGAAAAGGTCAGTTGCAGCCCTAGCCCTGCCATCACCCCACTGATCTGCCAGGGTACCTGTGTCCCATCTGGCGGGCAAGGGCGACCCCGGCCCCTCGCGGGCTGTTCCTCCTTCCCTGCGGCCGGCCCAGGAAGCCCTAGGAGCTGAGCCCTGTGGTGCTTGCCCAGCCCCCTGCCGGTTTCTTGTGGGCCCCCCACCTCCTTACACCCACTGAGTGTGTCCAGGGGTGCCCGCCTCTGCCCTGCTCCGGGAGGGCTGGTGCAGGCAGAGAGAACCGCCCCCATCAGCAGTCAGTCCCAGCCCTCACTTCCCCCCAGCCCCTGACAACCACGAGGCTGCTTTCTTGCTGTCTCTATGGATTTTACATTTTGGACGTTTCATAAAAATGGAATCATATGATATTTGTCCTTTTTTGTCTGGCTTCTTTCACTCAGCATCGTGGTTTGTTTTTTTCGGGGTTTCTTTTAGCCAATGTAAACTTCATTTATCAGTTCAATACGCAGTAAGATGATATAAAAGATAGGATCATGCTTTTCATTACTAAAAGTTTTTATGTTAGTTATGTTTGATATCTTATTTTCAGTGTCAAAGAACCTAGCTGACAGTTTGAATCAGAGTCAGTTTGTTTCAGCAAATATTATAAATCGATACCTGTTTTATATTTCTGTTGTTTGGATAATCCACGGCTGAACTTAGCAGCGTTGTGTTTTAAAGGTTCGTCCACACTGCAGCATGTGTCAGAATTTAGTTCCTTTTTATGGCTGAGTCACGTTCCATCGTATGGATAGACCCTGGTTTATCCATCTATCGATGGATATTTGGGTTGTTCCCACCTTTTGGCTGCCGTGCCTAGTGGTGCTGTGAACATCTATGTACAGATGTTTATTGGAACGCTTGTTTTGAGTTGGTCACTCTAAGGTGCCACCCTCCCTGACCCCGGTCACTCCCTGTCTCTGATCTGTCCCCTGATCATCTCACTGTCTGGGCACATTTTCTCCTGTGATGACGTTTATTCTCGTGTATACTCACTGGTCGTCTGCCACCCCTTCTGGCTGAATGAAAGCTCTGTGGAGGCTGAATCCTTGTCTTGTTTTTCTCTATCTCCATCACCAAGAACAGCCTCTGGCGCACACGAGGTGCTCAGTACGTGCTTTTGAGTGAGTGGATGATGTGAATGAATGAAGGAAGAGGGCCTTTGGAGTTTCCCTGGCACGTGGACTTTGCATGTGTCCAGGCCCCCGTGTCCCATGTTCTGAGCGTGAGTGGTGCTCGGAGGGCAGGCGGTAGGAGCCCCGTCCTCCTGCCAGGCCCGGCCTTGCTCCCTCCTCCGGTCCCCTGCTTCCTCCTCCGCATTCACCTGTCTCCTGCCATGTCTCCCTGTGTCCCAGGTCATCAACTTCCCCTTCCCGACTCCCCCCTCCATGGAGGCCCTCATCGCTGCCGAGGAGCTGCTGATCGCACTGGGTGCCCTGCAGGCACCCCCAAAAACAGAAAGGTAGGGCAGGAGCTCGGGGGAAGTGGAGAGCCCAGGTCCCGCCCCGTTCTCTGCCCTCTCCCCTCTCCCGAGCTGACCGAGCACCAGGCCTCTTGGTGCCGAAGGTTTCTCGTGGAGCCTTGCCCGCACCCATCACAGACCTCCTTCCTCCAGGGTGAAGCTGCTGCAGAGATCCCGGTGGAGCTGCCCCATCACTGAGCTGGGCAGGACCATGGCCACGTTCCCCGTGGCACCGCGCTACGCCAAGATGCTAGCGCTGAGCAGGCAACACGGCTGCCTGCCGTACGCCATCACCATCGTGGCTGCCATGACTGTCCGGGAGCTGTTTGAGGAGCTGGACAGGTGGGGGCTGGGGGCTGGGCATTCGGGGGCCGCCTGCCCTTGGCTGAGCCATGGTGTGGAGCCTGGCCTCCTGGGGCATCACTGACTTGTTGAGTGGTCTTGTGCGAGACCCTCGCCCGCCCTGCGCCTGGCAGTGTTCTGATCTCTACCGATCTCTGTTTGTTTTTGTTTTTGGCCACGCCGTGTACCTTGTGGGATCTCAGTTCCCTGACCAGGGATCAAACCCGTGCTCCCTGCAGTGGAAGTGCGAGAGTCCTAACCACTGGACCACCAGGGAATTCCCACGATCGTGGTCACGTTGATCAGTGACCCCACCAGGCATTTTTGGGCCCACCCTGGGTAACTGGTGTGTCCCCTGCCTCTGCAGCCGTGTGCGGCCAGGGCAACAGCCTGGGTGGTGTGTGTGTTCGCAGGCCAGCTGCCAGCGACGAGGAGCTTGCCAGGCTGAAGGGCAGGCGGGCCCGGGTCGCCCAGACGAAGAGGGTCTGGGCGGGGCAGGGAGCCTCTCTGAAACTCGGGGACCTCATGGTGCTGCTGGGTGAGTGCCCTGCGTGGCGTGGACTGTGGCTGGCAGGGAGGTCATGCGGAGTTGGACAGGGCAGCGAGAATGAGTGACGGCCCCCCCCCCCAATCCACAGGCGCCGTGGGAGCCTGCGAGTACGCGGGCTGCTCTCCCCAGTTCTGTGAGGCCAACGGGCTGCGGTATAGGGCCATGATGGAGATCCGGCGCCTGAGGGGCCAGCTGACCACTGCGGGTATGGCCCTACGCCCGGCAGAGAACTTGACCCTGTTGACGTTTAAAGTCGCTTTTGAGCGACGTCACCCACGTACAGTCGATCTCCGTTATTCACAGAGTCCACATTTGTGAATTCACCTATTCGTTAAAATCTATTTTAGTGCTTGCCACCTTTGTGGTCCTTCGAGGACACGCACACGAGCAGGGCAGTGACATGTGCACGCTCTCCCATCAGGCTGTCTGTCCGTCTCATCCTTTCCTTGGTGACATCCCTCTCGTCACCCTTTGTCCCGGCTCTGGCCTGGACCAGCTGCTGGCCGCACCTCCTGCCCAGCAACCTCGTGCAGGAGTCCCTGCTCCCGAGTAGGGTCCGGCCCTAGTTTGCTTCTCCAGCAGTGGAAGGGGCGCCTCTTGTTGGAGTCGGGGAGCAGCTGACGGTTCAGCCCCTGCTTTCTGCTCCTGTTGGTCTGAGTGGTGGGAACCGGACCCGTTTGAAGCCACATCAGGGCTGGGCGTGGGTGGCAGGTCTTCTGCGCCCTGTCCGTGTTCTGCCTTCTTCCTGTTTCTTTCCTCTTCTCGCTTTCTAAGTTAAACAACATAGGTGTCACTGAAGGCTTTGTAGGGAAGACAGATTTACATTGCAAACCTCAGAACAGAAAGCCCTGGACTTCCCCGGCGGTCCAGTGGTTAGGACCCCATGCTTCCACTGTAGGGCCACGGGTTCGGTCCCCGGTCGGGGAGCTAAGATCCGCAAGCCTACTCTCCCCACCTGCATCCCCCGTCCTGCTCCTCTCGTTTTTTCCCTGCCGCCTCCTCCCGCCACAAGCAGCAGGGCCCAAAGCCCCACCTCCTTTCTCCCCACCTGCCAGGTGTTCCAGAGCTTCACATCCTTCTCATGCAGAAGGAGGAGGCCTTGCCCTGCGTCTCGCGCCTGCGCTCAGCAGTGCAGGGCCCTCGAGGGGAGAGGTGGTCTCCACACTTGTCCTGCTCAGAGAGCGTGACTCGTCTGTCATGTGTCCTGGCTGGGCGTGCTCCCTGCCCCAAGGCCGACGGAGTCAAGTGCGAGCTCTCGCAGCAGCACGGTCTGCCACCCGCAAGGGAATTGGGGTTTCGTCCCGAGGACGAGGCAGACATGGGTGTGAGTGGGCATCCTCGGTGGACGGGGGCCGAGATGCGCAGGTCGCTGAGGCCAGAGCTCCGAGCTGAGCGGCGTGGGGCCTTCCAGAAGGTCGGGCGGAGCCAGCCCCCGCCTCGCCTTCCTCACGCCTCGGTCTGCCCCCAGTCAACGCCATGTGCCCCGAGGCCGGGCTCTTCGTGGACCCCAAGATGCAGCCGCCTTCCGAGAGCCAGGTGACCTACCTGCGGCAGATCGTGACGGCTGGCCTGGGTGACCACCTGGCCCGCAGGGTCCAGAGTGAGGACCTGCTGGACGACAAGTGGAAGAACGCCTACAAGGTTGGACGCTGGCTCGGGGACGGGCAGCAGGGCAGTCGCTGCGCCCGGGGCCCCCGCCCTCCCTGCCCTCCATCTCACGTCCTGGCAGCCTGGGCACTCCAGACGCCCAGCTCTGGGCAACGTCAGGACGCCTGTGAGGGGCAGCCGGGGGGACCCTTGGGTGTGGGTGGGCCTGTCCTCCCGGGTCACGGGTCCTACTGCCTCTGGGAAGGTCCCCACCCAGGGCCAAGGTGGAGTGACGGTGCAGCCATTTCTCCCTTTGGGCGTGAGCTTCACCCCAGCGTCACTGAATGCAGATAGAAGCACATCTCATACAACTTGCCGTTGTAAAGTGTACAATTCAGGGGGTTTTAGTCTATTCAGAGTTGTGCACCCATCACCACAATTAATTTCAGAACGTTTTTATTATCCCAAAAGACTCCGGAGAGCCATTGCGGTCACTCCCCATTTTCTCTTGAGTCTCCCCACCCCGTGAATCTGTTTTCTGTCTCTACGGATTTGCTATTCTACGCGTTTCACACGAATGGGATCCTCCACTGCGTGGCCTCTTGGACTGGCTTCCTTCGCTCAGTGCTGCGCTTTTTGGCGGGTCACGCTGCTGCCCGTGTCAGTACCTCTCACGGCAGGGTACGCACTCTGTCGGCGGACACACGCCGCCAGGGTGGCCGTTCGTCGGTTGACGGATGCTCTCCTGCTTTCCTGGCTGAGGGTGTAACTGGATTCAGGGGGGTCAGCCTCACCTGGCGCTCACGCATGCCCCAGACTCACGCCCCCCCGCCGTCTCTCTCGCAGACCCCCCTCCTCGACGACCCAGTCTTCATCCACCCCAGTTCCGTGCTCTTCAGGGAGCTCCCTGAGTTTGTGGTCTACCAGGAAATTGTGGAGACCACCAAGATGTACATGAAAGGTAGCGCAGCTGGCCAGCCCCTCGCCTGACCCGCGTGGCTCTGGTGAGCCGTGTCGCTGGACCCTTGGGAAAACCCTTCGCCAAGCCCCCATCCCTTCTTTCCCGGGCCCCCAGGCGTCTCGACTGTGGAGGTGCAGTGGATCCCGGTCCTGCTGCCTTCTTACTGCCAGTTTGACAAGCCCCTTGAGGAGCCGCCCCCCACTTACTGCCCCGAGAAGGGGCGGATGCTGTGTCACCGGGCCAGCGTGTTCTGTGAGTCAGGGTGACTTCCCGGTGGCCTTGGGCTCCACTGGACACGTGGTCCTGCCTCCCGCGTGCCCTGGGCGGTGTGTGTGTCCTGCGCCGTATCATCCCAGGCTGCGGGCCCCCTTGGCAGGCGGGGAGGGGACTGGCAGGGGAGGGTGGCGTGGGGCTCCATCGTGTCCCCTGCTCACCGGCTCACGTGCCCCAGGTCGCGTCGGCTGGCCGCTCCCCGCGGTCCAGGTGGATTTTCCAGAAGGCCTTGACTGCTACAAGCACTTGGCCCGGGTTCTGCTGGAGGGGCAGGTAGGCGACACAGCTCCCTCGGCCTCTTCCTTGGTACCTCGGGTGGGACGTGAGCCCCAGATCTCTCACCCCATCCTGTGGTCTCTCCCCAGGTCTTCCACAAGCTGGCCTCGTACAAGGGCTGTTTGCTGTCCAGCCCCAGCACGATGCTGAAGACGTGGGCCAGGTACAGTCTCTCCCGGAGGCGTCGGCTCGGCAGGTGGTGGTGGAGGGAACTGAGACTAGTGTCCTGGGGCCGCCGTAACAGATCCCCACCCACTGAGGGCCTTAGGACAACAGGAGTCTCTTCTCTCGTGGCACTCCCGGGGACTCGGGGTGAGGCTGTGGGTCCAGGAGCCCCTGCCAGCCAAGTTCTCCAGCCAGCACTTGGTTCTGAGCATCCGCTCTGTGCCGAGCGCGTCCTCGTGTTAGGGTCGAGCCATGACCCTGTCCCGTGGCATGTCCCAGGGCAGGGAGGTTGTCCCCAAACAGAACGACTAGTGCAAGTGGCAGGGCTGGCACAGCTACAAAGGGTCAAAGCAGGATGTGGAGGTGAGGCGGCGGGTGGGCGGGCTCAGTCAGGAAAGGCTGACGGAGCAGCGTCAGGGGAGGCAGGGCTGCGAGCTGGGCGGGAGTCTGGAGGAAGGTTCCAGATGGACAGGCACCGTGTGTGGGAGCAGCCTGGGCGGGCGGGTCAGAGGCAAGTGGTGGGAGGCGATGGAGTCTGGATCCTTCCATCCAGCCAGCACCCCCAGCCTGCTGGAGGGAAGGGGACTTCCTGCAGTTCCTGGGCAGGCCTGGCAGTGGTGCCAGCGTGTGGGCCTCATGACGCCCCACGTCCTGCCTCCCCACCCGCAGGCTGCAGCCCAGGACAGAGAACCTCCTGAGAGCCCTTGTTGCTGAGAAAGCCGACTGCCGAGACGCCTTGCTGGCTGCCTGGAGGAAGAACCCCAAATGTGAGTCTGACCAGGAAGGGTGCCCCGTGGCGAGGGCATCGCGGGGGGGACAGGGTGGGGCCACCGAGGGAGCCCAGGCTTAGCGGGAGGGTGTGCCCTGCGGCAGGCGGGTGGGCACAGAGCCGCTCTGATCGTCCTCCCTCCCACCCCTGCAGACCTGCTGGCCGAGTACTGTGAGTGGATCCCGCAGGCCATGCACGCCAACATTGAGAAAGCCTGGCCGCCCATTCCTGACTGCTGACCTGGTGCTGGCCTGCAGGGCCGAGGACTGGCCTGCGGACCCAGGGGGCTGGCAGTGGCCGGTGTCCGCCATGGTCACCCTGACCCCAGACTGCGCCCAGGAGGCAGGTGGAGCCCCTGGACACCCTTGGTCATCTTGGCTCGATTCTGGGCACAGCATGCTGCCGCCTTGGGCAGTCCCTCGTGGGTGACTTTTGTAACTCTTTATTACAGGGTGGATCATGGTTTTATCTCTCATGGTTTTTTCTGGTCCTGCTTTAAACGTGCTCTGTGGACGACATTAGTCCCTTGTAGAGCAGCAGGCGACCACGGGCCCTTCCTCCGCTCCCTGTTCCCTGCGGGTATGGTGCACCCTGCCCACAGCCAGCGAGGACCCCCAGGGCTCCCGCCGGCTCCTGTGGAGTGGGCGTCCCCTCCCCGGAGTCAGCTCGCTGCTGGCTACATTGCTGTAATAAACCTTGACTGTGACAACAGGTCTATACCGCGTCTACCGAGTTCTTTGGGCCAACCTCTGAACATGGGGGTGGTCCGGGGACATCCTGCGCGTGCACGTGCACACACACACGTGGAAACTAGTTTGGATGGTGCTCATGAACGTGTTAGTGGTCATCCTGTGGCACAGTGAGCCGGTAGAGGTTGATCATTTTTCTCACGTTTTCTTGGGTATTTTTCCTGGATCAGTTTGTGTTAATATCAACGCATAAATTCGGGAATTTCCTGGCGGTCCACTGCAGGGGGCACGGGTTCGATCCCTGGTTGGGGAACTAAGTTCCTGCAAGCCGCGCAGCACAGCCAGAAAAGTAAAAAATAAACACAAATTCTGTAATATAAACACACACGTAAGACAAAACAACAGAGATACGTGTTTAATGTTCCAAAACTATTCACCTTCTCCACAGCCTAGCTGCTAACCCTACTGTTCCCACAAACTAGGCGGTCTCCCCTACCCCACTCCCCCTGCGTTTAAGCCATCTGCAAGGTCTGTTAGTCCACGCCCGGGATGTGTCCAGAACCCCCTCGTGTTCCCCACTTCTCCTGCTGTGCCATCCCCACCTCCGCTTCCAGCAAGCCTCCAGCAGCTCCCGCTTGGGCCATGGCAGTGGCTTCCTGGCAGGTCTCATGTCCACTCTTCCCGCCTATGGTGGACTCCACATGGCAGCCAGAGGGAGCTGTTTTAAAACCTAGGTAAATCATGTCATTCCCCTGCAACAGGCCTTCCAGTGTCTTGAAAGATTCAACCCTCTCCTTCCCTCATTCATTAAACATGCACAGGGCTTTTTTCTGTCCCCTCAATGCAGATTCCTCCCCCTACCCCCACTTCAACCTCAGGGCCTTTGCACCTGCCATTTCCTCTTTCTGCAGACAGGCCCCCCTGACACTTTATCTGCGGCAGCCTCCACGTCCTCCCCCTTTAGTCTCCATCTCATCACAATTAACCGTATTCATAAAGCTCATTGCTACTTGCTTATTGCTAGTTACCTAGACTGGAATACTGAGGACAGGAGGGCTGAGAAACCTTGCCTGGCGTATCCGGGAATACAAGGGTACTTGACACTACCTGAGCACACAGTAGGCACTCAATGTGTCCACATTTCTTGGCACTAGGTGCTCAGGAGTCACGGAATGAATGGCCAGTTGCAAAACCCTCCTTAGAAATCCAGTGTTTTCTAACTGCTTGATGACATGAATCACTAGGAGTGTTTGTTTAAAAACGCAGCTCACTGCTGACCTGAATCCGAATCTCCAGGGGAGAGGAAACGGGCATCTGTGATTGAGACTAAGGGCGTTTGACTAGCGCCGCCCTCTCCAACGGAGCTCCCTGTGATCCAGAGAGGGAAAAAATTAATTCTAGGCAGAAAACGTGGAGATGCCGGGGATTGAACCCGGGGCCTCATACATGCAAAGCATGCGCTCTACCACTGAGCTACATCCCCAGGCCTGTGAAGTTGTCTGCTGGAAATGAGGATATAGGAAGTGGTGACTTCGCTCCTCCACGTCTCTTCCGTTCTGGAGGCTCAGCGCCTTCAGAGACGCAAGTAAGTCTTTCCCGTCCCAGGAAGCCCACCAACCAGGGGCGCGCGGCACTGCGCCCATGAAGACCAGTATTTGGAGTAGATAGGTGTAGCAGCCGGAGAATGATGTTTCTTTATGGGTTTGGTAGGAAACTGTTCACGGCTCATCCTCGTTAGTATAGTGGTAAGTATCCCCGCCTGTCACGCGGGAGACCGGGGTTCGATTCCCCGACGGGGAGGCTGTGCGATTGTTTTAACTCACTCCAACACACACACAACACATTTGGGGCATCTTCTCCAAAATGATATGACTATGATGGACAGATATGCACGGAAGCGTGTACATTTGGTTTTCGGAAGATGTCCATTTCCTCAAGAAGATAGTGGAAAATACTGTATACTCAGCCATGAGCACTATAGGCTTCCTTCTATGTAAGAATAAATATACATAGTGAGTATATTCGTATTTATCTTTCTGATCGGATTACAGCAACAACTAGAGCGAACGTTATATAGCTCCCATCATGCACCAGGCAGTATTCATAAGCGCTTTACAGGTGTGCACCCATTTAATTCTCACAATAAGCCTAGTAGGGGCTATTTTATCACATCAGACAGATGAAATGCAGGCACAGAGCGTGGATCCGGTAACTTGTCCGAGGTCACGTGAATCAGTCCGGTCTAGACCCTGGTTACTTCTGGGGAGAAAGGACTGGGATAAGGTGGGAGTGACTCTGCCTTTCCGTTCGGTAGTTTTCTGGACTGTTTGAATTTTACTTTTTATTTTTTCGCTCTCCTTCCCTTCCTTCCTTCATTTCTTCCTTACTCGGTTTTTATCAAATTGGTACACTTAGTTTTTCAAGAACTACTAAGCTTTCGTGAAAAGCAGCAGCAGGGTCCTCTGCTGTATCCCCTTGCTCCTGAAGGAATTTAGGACGTCCCGTTTTGGTGTACTGTTTATTTTGAGCTGTCAGCACCTCACTGGTCTCCTTGCTGCCACTTGAGCCCCTCCTGTCCATTCTCCATACAGCAGTCAAGGGAGACTTTAAGAGGTAAATCATATCACTCACTCCCCAGCAGTTTTCCAACACAAGAGAAAGTACAAACCCTTCACCGTGGCACCGTGGCTTTCAAGGCCGGCAAGATCTGGCCTCTGCCCACCTCTTTATCCTTGCCTCCTATCTTCTGTCCCCTCACCTCTTCCACGCTGACTTTCTTTCCATTCATACAACTAGCTGGACTCTGTTTCAGCCTCAGGGCCTTTGCATCAGCTGTTGCCTCTGTTCCAGAGGCTCTTCCCCCAGCGGGCTCTTCATTCTCCAAGTCTTCTCAGCGCTCTTTCCTTCTCTTACTGCCCCATCCCAGGTGTTCCATCCCATCACTACCATTTATTTTGCTTCTTAGCATTCCTATTATGACGAACTATTTTGTTACTGTATTTGTGACTGGGTTACAGGGTCATTAGGTGCTTAGCAAACACTTATTAAATGACTTCACATCATGAAGGACGTCCACGCTTGTTCATCCTGTCCCAGACAACACTCCCCAGCCACCCATCTCCCAAAGGGCAGGGAAGCAGAGAAAGACAAACCTGGATGCCGACCTGTTGATTTCCTCATGCCTTGAAGCTGACCAGTTGCCACAGGTGGGGTGGCCATGCTTGGAGGCCGGATCCCAGTCACTGCCCCAAGGAAAGCCCATACGGCCTCCCACATGCCTTGGCGTGGTCAGCAACCCTGCCACGTCTTGGGCTGCTTGGTGAGCTGCACCCAAGGGGAGACCTTGCTCAGTTGTGCAGAGAAGGGAGCCTGAGAAAGCGGAGCTCTGAGCCAGGTGAGATTCGTTCTTTCCTTAATTCAGCAAATATTTTCAAGCACCTATTAGGTGCCAGGCACTGTTGTTGGCCTTAAGCGATACAGCAGTGACAGAGGCTGATGAGTTCCTTGCCCGTCGTGGGTCTGTCATTCTAGCCGGGGGGGGACAGATAATGGACAAGGAAAACAATACCTAAGCTAACAGTAAACAATAAAGGGCTGGGGTCGCGTAGGGAGGCGTGATCAGGGAAGGCTTCTCGGAGGCGGTAGCTTTGAAGGACAAGAAGGGGCAGGTGCGGGGCGAGCCTGGCAGGCATGCGTTCCTGCCGACCCTGGTTCCTCAGCAGCGGATCCCTAGATCGAGGATCCAGGGCCATTAGACAACGAGGAGGACAGAAGCGGAGACTAAAAGAAGCAGTGGCCGAAATAGCTCAGTTGGGAGAGCGTTAGACTGAAGATCTAAAGGTCCCTGGTTCGATCCCGGGTTTCGGCAGCTTAGCTTTTCTCCCCATGTGTCGGGGGAAAACAAAAATGACGAAATGATTCTTTCAAATGAATAAAGGGGTTTCATTTTCTTTGTTTAAAACATCTCTGAGCAGTATCGAAGGGAAGCCAGAGGGTATGGGAACCTCCATACAACTCCCTAACTGGAAAAATCCGACAAGACCAAGAGTTTCTTAACTCCGTTTCTTTCACTTCATAGGCACTTAACCTCTGTTAGATGTCTGTTAGTTAATTTTTGCTGTTTATTAATTTTTGCTCTCTGAACCCTCACGGCTAAATCACGGACCAGGGAGGAAAAGTACTCTTTAAGATGGAATTAAATAAAGTGGGATTTTTCCTTCTTTTGTTTTGTAGGAAAAGATGAAATATTTAACCTTTTGGAACATGTGACTATTTAGGGAACACTGAATGTACCTTCAAGAGGAGAGCCGAAAAACCAGCAAGGGAGCTAGTCCTCGTTAGTATAGTGGTGAGTATCCCCGCCTGTCACGCGGGAGACCGGGGTTCGATTCCCCGACGGGGAGGTGACGTCGTTTTGGAGCTGCAGTACATTTTCTCATTTCTTTCCAGACAAATAACTTTCATAAAAATTCCTTGTTCTTTGAGAGAATCAACCTGGCAGGCAAGCGAGATTTGTACCGGCGGTTCCCTATCATCCGCTTGGTCGTAGT